ATTGTTGGCCCTTGTTTTTTATTGTTTTTACCCATTATAATATTTATTTTAGTTACAGGTATTAAAGAAATCCTGAAAGTGAAAAGAAGGGAAAATACTTACCCTCATATGTTTTGGCGTATTGTAGGTTTTTATAGATTCGTTATTTAAAAAGTTAAACGAAAAACACCATAAAACATTTTAGTTGAATTTTATTTAAAAATTTAAAAAAAAGGGTTTACATGTATATTTTTTGCAAAATTTTTATTTGGGTTTTAAAAAATTTTAAAAAAAGAAATTTAAAAAGCTGGTGTGAAATAAAATGGTAGAAAAAAAGGGCCTTAAAAAACGAATGGGCCCTTCACGAAATAATTTTTAAACCCAATAAACCCTTTTATAATAGGAGAATAGTAAATTTTTTCGGGGAAAATTTTAAATTTTTTTGCGTACAAAACATGGTTTTTGGTTAAATAAAGAAAACATTTTTAAATTTAAAAATCTTTTTGGAATCAAGACGAGATTTTTGGGAAAAAAATACATTTTCTGTTGATAAATTTTGTTAAAATATTTTTACAAGATATGGGTTTTTTTCCCTTTAATTCTTTAAAGATTAAAAAAAAAGATAATATTTTTTTTGGTGAAAACAAGTATCGGGGTAAAGGGGTAATGTTTTAAAATTTTTTTTAAATTTTGCTGCTGTACGTGATCCATTGAAAACCATTTTTTACCATTAAGTCTATTTTCTTAAAGAAAAATTTATTTCAGTTTGATCTTACTTTTTTCTTAAAACAAATAAAAGGTTCATGGGTTGGGATTGTGGAAACAAAAGTTAGTATAAAAATCTTTTCAAATTTATTAAATGGTTTTTTATTACCCGGCGGGTTTTTTTGATATATTAAAATTTTACAAGGAAAAGTTTTTCTTCATTTCCCTATCAAATTTAAACCCAAAACATATGATGTTTACATTGTTGTATGTACAAAATGAAGATATTATTTGTGTATATACATTTGCATCCAAAGGCATATTGTCCACATGAACATGTATATCGTTAGTTAGTCGATATACCAACTCGTATAATTATTTTAACAGTGTGATAATTGTTCCATAACATTTCAGAGTAATGAAATCCAACCTGAAATGAAGAAAATACTGGAAAACATGTACATTGTAACAGCCAATGATATACATACGATCACTACCATTAATGAAAAACTAACAGAGGTAAAAATAAGGTTATTATTATTATTATTATTATTATTATTATCATCATCATCAGCACCATCATCATCATCATCATCATCATCATCATTATCATTATTATTATTATCATTATTATTATTATTATTATTATTATGATTATTATTATTATTATTATTATTTTAATAATTGTCCTTTGAAAGCTTAAGACAGATTTTCTCTATTTGTCATATTGTGCACATATACTTGGTGATTATATTATATTCAGTTTAGCTCTGTAAAAGTTTTATAAGCAAACATTTGACTAGTTTTTTGTTGTTCCTTTTTTAGATTGATGCTGGCTGCGTTATAAAACAAACTTTAATGTCAAGAAGAGAAAAGTATACCATGGCCTGTTACAAACGACATGCCAACAGTAATATATTCGAAAAGGTATCAGATAATTTTGATCTACCTCTCTATCAGATTTATCTCGGTTTAATCCCTCGTGTACAGACTCAAACCAAGTCGGCAATTTTCATGTAATTTTGTTGTGATTAACGCTTCCGAGGGATTACTCTTCATCCAGATTGTTTAATCACTCCGATATGGCATGCAATTATTTTTCAGTATATTTAATTAAGTTCATTTTATGTGAACATGTTATGTATTGAAGTAAAGACTTGGTCATCTGTAGCTGAGCTTTCGATCATCAAAATTCAAAGTTTATTAAGCATTTAGCAAAACCATTTGTTGCTGCTGGCTGTGATCATTGGCTTATATATTTGAATATATTGGACAACAAAATGACATTCATTTTCAATTACATTTTGACAGCATATTTTGCAATTTCAACAGTGTTTATATCTACCAGTTTCTAACATGTGAGCTAAGGCATATTTTAGATAAATGCTTTCTTATTTTATTATTCAATTAACATCAAAAATTAAAAAAAAATCAAAATCTTTACAATATCTTTCCATTTTTGGTAGAGACGAAATACTGTTTTGCCTATGTTGAATAAATTGTGTCGGGGCTGCGTTTTGTGAACATCGCCTCATTCTATTTCATTCTTTTTCCCCAACATATCTAAGTAATGTTGCCATATTGATGTTAATACATCTAATAATAAGGTAAATATTTTTTTATACATTTTTAGCCAAAATCAAATCGTTTTTTGTATACTGTGGGTACTTTTATATTTTCACAATTTCTAGACAATTCAAGACTTGAAAAGTTTCGACATTCATATCAAACCTGCTTATCTGGCATGGAATACAGATTCTGTAAGTATATATAGATTTAAAATAAAAGATAAAAAAAGTTATATACTATTTTGAATCTTTTTTCAAGAATAGTAAATACGAAAGCCCTCATAATTTCATGTAATTTTGTTGTGATTAATGCATCAGAGGGATCACACTTTTTCCACTTTTTTGGCAGCTGTAAAATGTTACCCCGTATTTCATTTTAATAATATTATATTTTCTGGTCCTTGAATCCAACACTTTTAATGTATCGCTCTAGTGGGTGCTGGGGGCGTGAGTGATTTTGCTTACTTATTTAGAACAATTACTGCAATTATATAATTCCCAGATAAAAATAGAAGGACTACCAAATGCTAACAGATATGCCGAGAATAATCAGTTGATATATTCCATAAGATCTGTAGAGAAATACGCACCTTGGATTCGACATATTTATATTGTTACCAATGACCAGACTCCAAGTTGGCTCAACACATCAAATGAGAGAATTGCGGTAATAAGCACAAAGGTAGGGATTTTAAATTCTTATGCGTCCTTCAAAAATTTGATTTATTTACTATTGATAGATCATTTAAACCATTTTAAACATTTGAACAATTCATAGAGGATATTTAAGTTTCATCTATATATACAGGATTTATTTTCATCGAGTTGTATTAAAATAAGTATTTCATGAGTGGCAATAGCCACGAGTGAAATATGATAATTTTCATAACACCAGTTGAAAATAAATCCTGCATTTAAAAAAACAAACTTGAATTTTCTGTTTATTATATACTTTTTTCTTCTTTTTTAACCTTATGAATATGAAGATTTCCATTTTAATTATGTTTATTGGATGAATTTAGAAGAAAATGGTTCAGCAAGACACCAGTGAAAATATGGAAATATGTTTCACTGTATTGAAAAAATATACTTTTCCAGTGAAAATACAGATAATAAAAAATACGCATTTTATTTCATCAATATTTTTCAATATTTCATTTAAAGTATATATAATAAAACTATTAAACATTTGTGTTGCTTATTCTAAATGTTACAGCCATTTGAATTTAAATTGACTAAAGAAAAAGTTACAAGAAATTAATATTCACCTAGGCGTTTTGAGTAAAAATATGTTACGGTATAAACAGTTGAAAGTATATTAATACTTATATAACAATAAATTTTCGATAAAGGAAATATTTCCGGACAAGAATGATTTGCCGACCTTTTCATCACCTGCTATTGAAAGTTACATGTATCGCATTCCTGGTTTATCAGAAACATTCCTCTTCATGTGTGATGATTTCATTTTTGGACAGTCAGTCACTTTAAGTGATTTTTATACTTCAGAGGATGGTTATAAGGTGAGAAAAAACTTTTTTACGGGTACATGTATAACCTTTAAAGTATGTTTTGATTATTGTTCTGTTCCTTTTCATACAAACAAATAACATGCTGTGATGAAAAATAAAGAAGAGTACGTTAGTGTAACTGAAGGCAAATTGCCCACAGGCCTTACATTGTCATTTACTAAAAGAAAGAATTTTACCATAAACAGTAATTCTTTATAGCTTTTATAGAATAAAAGTACTGTCCAATGAAAAAGGGTATTTTTAGCTTGTTTTCAAGAAATTTTCATTTACTTTTTTTTCTTTTATTGAAATTACATTCTAACTTTACCATACCATTTTGAAACCTCGTTAGTCTGCGTTTGTTAATTTCTTTTGTGTTGTGCTATATTTTGCATGATTTTATTCAATTTGGCGTGTTGATATAGGTTCGATGGGATGCGGCTATACCGACTTGCTGGTTTAGATGCTTTAACACGTTGCTAGGCAACGGTAATTGTGACAGATCATGTGACAACCTCAATTGTGGCTGGGATCATGGTGATTGTAGAAATATAACTCGTGCTCATATAAACAAGTAACCCATAAATAGGGTTGGGGGAATTTTTAAGGGGGTCAGAAATTAAAACCCACAATTGGGGAAGGTTTAACGGTTTTAAAATTGTACACAGAGGGCTTTTCCTCCATTTTTAAAATTTTCCCAACCAAATAGACCTTTGCTATGAAAGCCCAAATGCCAGGCCCCTCCCCCAAAACGTAAGAATATTTTTAAATGTATTTGTAGTATAATGCGTTTAAAGTTGGCATAAAATGTAAGGGTAAACAACCGAAATTATGTTTAAGCAACTGTAAACTTCTTATTGGTAATCTATCACTGCACAAATTGTTTCGGTGCATCTATAGTGGTGTATGCATGTATCATCGAACGGTTTAATTTTGATTTTTTATACCATAAGCAATTATATTTCCACAGAGAATCTTTAGTCTTTTTTATGAATTTTGCTATAGCTATTGCATACCAGTAGACCTACCTTAGTGTAAGTGAGGCCCATTTACTACTTACAACTAATGTACTTGACAACCAATGCTTTGAATATTGAGGTTTTGAATCAGTGCACATTTCTTCAAATAATGCACTGATCATGTTGCAAACGTAATTATATGTGCTTTACATATGATATTTCAAATAATTGCTTTTCCATAATTTCAATACATACTATTTTTCTCTTCTATTCTACAGATTTCATGAAGAGTTTAAGATGTCATCATCCATCCATTTTCGTTCACAGTTCAATGTTCAATACACAATGGCGTATCTACTTTATATTACCACAACACATGTAACGTTGACACCAGAAAATGTTTTTGATGAATTAGATAAAAATAAAACTGGGCAAGTATGACGAGACAGTTATATAAAAAAATTTTGTATTATCAATCAATCCAACAGGACGAGACATTTTATTAAAGATAAACTATGCTCATCTCTGAATGAGATATTTTAATTGTAGAAATTTATTGAAATCTGTAAAGTTCTTATTGATTATGTCTTAGTTAAATAGAAGGACCATCAAACTATGTATGGAAATCTGCCTTTCTTATTACGGGTCAACTAAAGCTAGTCCTTTCTTTTAAAAACTGCCAGTTTTTTAATGACACTATATATTCACAGTGTGTCCACTTATACTGTTCAGGATTGAAAACATAAAATATCTACTTTGTGTGAAGTCAAAATTTGTTCATTTTATATTTATAAAAAGACTGTAGCCATTATCAATATTTTCAGATGTTAACATTGAGCATAGTATATCTTTAAAATGATGAAAAATGAAAGTAGCGCAAGTGGCTTGTATTTATGTTTGTCATATGTTAGATTTGAATAATTAAATTATTACCGTACCACTCTACAATTTGGCCGATTCTATCCAGCTTCAAAACTAAATTCAAACTTCGGATGTAATCTGAGAATGAACAGGACCATTAATGTAAAACACATTTTCTTTTAGAGCAGTTACAGTAAAAGATTTAGAAGAATTACAGCATATGCGTTTTAGAAGTACGAAGGTTGGTAACATTTTCCAGTAAACGAAAAGTTAATAGTACAATATCATATAATATGATATGATATGATATGATATAATATGATATGATATGATATGATATGATATAATATATAGTATATAACTTACAGATTAATTTAATAGTATTTATATTCCAAAGTAAGAACGAATACATGTAAATTTTCCTCATATTCTAAATCACTAGTTTAATTTGTTTGGCATTTGAAATAATACATGTATATATATAAGTTACAATTCGATTCGATTATAAAAATAATCGATAATTATCTTCTTTTAACTTTCGATTTGCACAGTGAAAGTTTTAAGTTAATTACAAATACAAAATCCTACTTTGTCCTATTTCCTCTTGCCTATATCAGCCAGCGAGAAATTTACAATTTGTCCAAGTTCCGTTGACAAAGTTGTTGTGAAGTTGTCCATATCACATTTAAATTAAGAGTTTTTGATAACCTAAGTGATTTCAATTTTCAATAATACAAAAGTGCATCTTGCAAAAAAATATGTATTTATATGAAGACTAGCTGATGTAAATAGTCACTTATATCACTAGGGATCTATATTTATTTATTTACCAAGCGATTAGCAAGAAAACCCCGGTTATTTTATATATATCATGGTTAACTGATTCAGTTGTTTTATCTTATATTAACAGAAAGAAATCAGTTACTTCATAGATGCGGGATTAAACTGTTTGAAAACTCAGGATGATAAATTCGACAATAATAGAAATCTACAAGATTATTATTCCAAACAGGTATTTCAAATATCAATTTTGTTAAAAACACGAGCAGTAAGCAAATATGAAAACGTTTGATAAAATAAATGTATTAAAATCAAAGAAATATATGAACAATAAGCAGACGAATTTGATAAGTTCAGCGGAAATGTCTTATAAAAACCTCTTTCATTTCAGATCTTAAGGTCGGCATTTTTACAATGTCCCGCAATAGTTGATTATATTAGAAGAAAGGGAATATTAAAGCCAAAATACAAGTAGGTGGCGCTTTTTGATTGAAATCGTGATGCTATGATACCGGTATATGTTTAACATCTGTTTGGTATAATACATGTATAGCGTTTGCAAATTCTTAAACAGCTACAGCTCTTAAATATCTCTATCAACTGAAAACATTAGCATAAAGGAAGAGGTCCCTCTAGAGCAGTAAAAACAATATTGTAGACTCGGTTTTAAAGGTTCTGTTGAAGTTTTCTTAGGGATACGGCAAAGTACATTTATCACACCCGCTTTAAATACTACTTGTGCTTTTATGATATATTAATAAAATGTATACGTGTATAACAATTTCGATTTATTTCAGACATACTTTGGATACGGATGATAATTACGTCTTTGTCATAACCAAAAATATCATGCCATATTCGAGATGGATGTTAAACTGGATCACAAACAACCCAAGGTTAGTTCAAAATGAGACGTGTAATTGTTCTATCTATATCATAAATACGGAACTATATTCTGTTTTTGAATATTGTTTTAAGTACAGATTATTAAGTTTTTGGTCAATGGTCACTCATCTGTTTGTCATTTAATTAACAAATCTGGTATCAGTCTTGATCCTGCTTACTGGCAAATCATCTTTTTTTCTGTTTTACATAACCAAATCTAAATTTCAGTAAACGATTATTGTAGTTCTTATCAACTTTTGCAAACACAATTAATTTAAAACATTTAGTGAGAAACAGATGGCTGTTAAAGTTAGTTTTCGGAAAAGTTATTAATCTTAAAGTGTTAACAACCATTTTAATAGATATAAATCATTTAAGTTATATAATGTAACTGTTGCACGTCGAAGTAAGAACTGTCGATTATCAGTCCAAGACATTGCAATATCATCTTAATTGTAGCATTGAGTGGTAAAGAACATGCATTATTTGTAGGACAATAAATGCTGGCTTGAACTGAACACTGGCATGAAGTGGTCATTAATGCAGACCAAATTAAAAAAAGTTTATAATAATATGAAATTTGAAAATAGGGCAGATCCCTGGGAAGTAATGATAGCAACAAAATTACATGAAACATACAGACTTGGTTTGATTAAGTCTGTTCGTGAGTAGCAATGAAAAAACAACATCTGTCATACCCACCAGCACCACCATGGCGTTGTTGATATTCATTATATATGAGCCGCGTCACGACAAAACCAACATAGTGCGTTTGCGACCAGCATGGATCCAGACCAGCCTGCGCATCCGCGCAGTCTGATCAGGATCCATGCTGTTCGCTTACCAACCCTATTACAAGTAGAGAAACTGATAGCGAACAGCATGGATCCTGATCAGACTGCGCGGATGCGCAGGCTGGTCTGGATCCATGCTGGTCGCAAACGCACTATGTTGGTTTTGTCATGACACGGCTCATATAATTCACATCTGTCGTTATTGTTTCGTTTCAGGAAATTTATTGCCATCAATGATGAAATGGATCACAGCAAAATGATAGCGACGGCGGTTGAACTTGAATTAAAAAACTTTTATGAAAGATTATTTCCTACTCCATCACAATTTGAACTTCAAGTGACTTGATGTCGGCTGTACTAGTAGTTAACAAATAGATAATTAAGAAAATTCTATTATTAAATTAATGAATAAGATATACGTTTTGATAAGGCCAAGTGAGAAGCCAATTTTGCACACACAAAAAACGCGTACTGAATTCTAATTGACCACAAATATATTAGTATCTTAAAATCTTAGGATAAAAGAATTTTACAACGAAAAATATATTACGGGAATTTAATCTTTGGAGTGTATTTCATATTGTTTCTTTATGTTGAAATGGAATTTTACTCGTTATACGAGACCTGTAGTAATGAAAAGGCGTGACACCTTAATGAAAAGCAAAGTAGAGACTTTAAGATTACATTTATGTGCAACAAGTAACGATGGATTTCGTTAGAAAATGTGTATGTATTGCTAGAGGTTTTTTTATCACATTAGATCACCCGAGACGGTGTTCATGTTGTAGCTGATGGTTTGATATAACTTGGATATTACCTGACCTGACTACTATTTAATTAAAATAATAATAAAAGTACATCAGTCTTCTTAAAAACTGACCTTGGTCAGGGTCTATAGTAACAAAAGTAAACAAAAAAGCATGTTTGAAAAAGATTCTTGGCAGAATTAAACCAGGTTTAATTTGCATGGGTTATTTCTTGAGTTTTATATACATGAAGAAATGTTAACAATGTCTGTTGATGAATGACAGTATTTATTCGTACAAATTCTCATTTGCTGAGGAGATATTTTGCAGATTTTGAATCTAAATTATTATACATAATGATAATATATATTCAAAGTAGATCTTCTACCCCTTTTTACAGTATTTTTGTTTGTGCATATCGTTTGTTTTCTTCACATATGACATTGTTTGTAATTATATGCATATGTTGACTGGCAGTTTTTAAAAATAGATATAAAATATTGAAAACGCGGATAAAATGATAATGATTTGTTTAAATTGTATCAAACAACTTATTATTGTTTTATCTTTATATGAAAACAAACAGGATTGTCAATAGTGTCTAGATCTCAGGAGTCAATAACTCTTTGACCAAATATTCATTAGTCAACCATTAAGTTTTTCTTTCATGCATGTACTTCGGGTATTTATTACAGTATAATATGTAAATCCATAGATGTATGTATCTCAACGTTGCTCGTTATTGTTGTTTATTGTTTACATAACGTTATATAGTACATTATAAAGTAATCTAAATAGTTGAATAATTTGAGATATAATTATAAAAATGAAGATATTTTGTCAAAAATGTAATTGCATTTTTTTCTTTTATTTTGAAGCAATATTTATAAATATGAAATTCAATTTATCCAAAATTCCGTACAGTTTCATTTAACAAAATTCTGTGGAGTGAAGAACGTAGACGCCACTAGAAAATTTAATAACAATTTAAAAGTATTAAAAAATCATTTTTGGAAGGAAGCTTGGTTGACATAACTCAAGCATCTAGAAAATTCGTTTCCGAAACTTTAATAGATTTACAAAAAAATTATGACGTGTATATGTTTTAGGATTGTATTACTTATTTGTAGTTGTATGCAATATAATTCACAAGCGGAAATAACGATTATGAATGGGTATAACTAAAAAGGTATTTAAGTGGTCAAAAGATTTTCAACAGGTTTTATCTTACCTTTATTTAAAACCAGCTCAATTTATAAGCAGCGTGTTGGATTGACATCAGTTTTAACAGACGTTTTTAAACATTACTCAGCTGACCAATACCGTGCATGTCGTCAACCATTGGAACCGTTGTGTGCTGTACAACATAGCCTCACTGATGCAGCAAATGTGTTGAAGTATGCAATGATAAATATCTGGAAAAAAAGTAATTTCTCGGAAGCACTTTAACAGCAAAATTACATGAAAATTGCAGACTCGGTTTTATTGAGTCTGGACATGAGGAATAAAGTGCAATATCCCTCACGCACGCTAGCTTAAGCGGTACTCAGTTCTCAACACTTAAAAGTGCTGGACTCAAAACCTACTCCATATTCTCACGTCAAGTAACGCCAACAGCTGACTTTGGTTGGGACGTAAACGGTATCGTTGGATTAAACAACTAAACCAAAGTTATTGTCTACCATATTGTTCTTTATCTTGCCTAAGTTAATTACTTAGTTTTGTCACATGCTAGGCAGAAGCGAGGCTTAAGACTCAATCAAACCGAGCAATTTTCTTGTAATTTTGTTGTGATTAATGATTCCGAGGGATCACTTTGCTTCCAGATTTTTATACTTCACAACAGCAGGTGTCAAGTGCTGTGTGGCAGCTGTAAACAGTTGCCCCGTACTTCACTTCAGTGTTTTTATATTTTTCTGGTCCTTGGGGATCATTGATGCCAGCACTATTAAGTGTTGAGAATTGAGTACCTCTCAAGCCGGTGCTAGGGGGCGTGAGGAATGTTGCACGTATTTATTATCCCTCATGTACAGACTCAATCAAACCGAGTCTGCAATTCTCTTGTAATTTTGCTGTTATTAATGCTTCCGAGGATCACTTTGCTTCTAGATTTTTAGTATAAGTTACCAAGCCTTATTCTCAATTTTGTATGTTTATCGCTACAAATATTTATGATGTGTTTTTTTTCCTATGTTTGATCTATTTAGATTGTGTATAATGTACAATATCTGTGTAAGTTAATATATATAGAGAAATATTGTTTAAACAACTGTCATGTCATTCACTTATTTGTCCGACAACATCAGTATTACCAACGTCGAAATTGCCCCAACAGCATCTGTCAGTTTTTCAACTTTTTGATGAAGTTTTTTTTAATTGTGCTAGTTTTGTGTATTACAGATATGGGCATTATGCTTTTACTTAGATTTAGGTTATACATGTTTGCAATTGACTGCTTGGTAAACGAAGAGGACAGTGAACTCATGCACTGACCAGTGTAAATGAACAATAGCGATACACAACTTTCCTGTATAATTCCAACCATTATTAAAAAGAATGAACATTTTACATATGCACACATTCTTGTTCTGATAGTATATATCCTGTTTTTATATGCGTTTTGCGATTTCGAAGCACTATATGTAAATTTGTTTGCGAATATAACGGCTTTTTTTATATTTTAATGTAACCTTTTATTAGACATTGCTCAAAGTTCAAACAAAACAATCATAGGTGATTTAGGAGCAGATACACCCAAGAAAAAGACATATTGAAGTGATTTAAGATACAGTTTTAGTACATGTACTACTTCATGAAACAATGTAGGACAATTTCACAAATGAAATTGGTGAGATAAAGCCAGGTGTATGATTGGAAGCCTTTCGTGCGCATACAGATTTTTTATTTGTTTGGGACGTCAGACCAAACAAATAATGCTAGCGAAATTTCAGACCCTGGTGTGCTTAATTGCAAATACCGAAAATAGTCCAATTTCCTCGAAGCGGTAACCTCCCTTATATGTACACTAACGCCAAAAAATTAATGGGAGATCATTGCGTAAAGATTGTCAAATGACAGGCGCATAAATGTTTTCGTAAAGAAAAAATAGTTCCCGATTGGAAGAAGATTTCTAATACTGTGTTATTCTTATAGATATACATGCTTATATTAAGCTCCATGATTATTTACATCAGTGTTAAACATCAGGTTTATCGTGAACAAAATATATCGAAATTAATAAGGGTTACACACCCTAATTTAGAATAATATAGATTTCTTGAGTCTGTTATGTTCTAACTCCCCATGGTCGAGGGGTTTATTCGCTCGCTTTGGAAGCGAGAAATCTAGAGTTCAAATCACAGTTAACGCAACTTATCTCATGTTGTTGTTGTTGTTTTAGTTGTTTTTTGTTGTTTTTTATTTAAAGCCAAATAAACATTGTATCGAATATCAGTGTTGCAATTAGTCTTATAGCCAATTTACTATAGTTATAACACTGGAAATAGCATTGGTGACACTATACAAACAAATTGGTTTATAATCATCTCACAACCTTCACCTTTCTGACATTCTGGGACCCGAACAAAGTCAGCGCCTTCTGTGCTTTGATTTAATCTTCAATGGGTTTCTAGCAAATGTGTTCGAGAGAAGGTAATAGATTCTTCTGGTCGTACTTAAATTCTATGATTTGATCAAGGACATTAAAAGTACATTCTCTGAAAATTTAGATCATGTGTACACAACATACCTGATTTTATAATCATTTATAACAGTCTGACAGTACGCGAAAATTTACTTTAATTTCAGTCAAACAAACTGTAAATGTTGTTGACTAACTAACGTATTGCGATGATGATAAACAAATACAAAACAGACTAAAAGTTTGATATTATTTTATTACGATAGAAATAGTCAAATTGTCTGAAAATAAGATATTGCATTGTTTTTACTTATGAAATAGCGATGATTGCAAAACGTGTCAGATGAAGGAAATTTTACAGGAGATGTGACAAGTCTTGTTAGATATAACTGTTGCTGGACAAATGTGTGACAGTGTATGCTAAACGGTAAACGTCTCATTTCATTGCCGTTAGCAACTCCCAGAAGATGCCCGTTGTCAAGTGGTTAAGGTCGTTGACTTAGAATAACTTGCCCTCATCGCTGTAGGTTTAAATTATACCTTGAGAAAACCATTCATTTAGCTTGCGGAAGACCGGTACTTCTACTACTGAGGGCACTTTTGGTGTTCCTTCACCAGTTGTAAAATCGACGCGTGAGTTGTGATATTTTTAATTTAGTTGTTCTACACAACCTTTAATGTATACATATGTGTGTTTTGGTAAATTTAAAATACACATGTTCTAAAATATTTTTTAAAGATACGCAATGCTCAAATTTGATATTTTAAAATATTGATAATTGCTACACAATCTGTAAATATAGAATAAACATGTTTTGACACCACACAAAGTAGATGTGTTATGTTTTAAAATCTATACACCATAGGTGAACATAGTATGAATATATAATGTCATTAATAACTGGCATTTTGTTTAAGAAAGTACCAACTTTATTTTACATGTACTAGGGAATACAGCTTTCCATACACAGTTTGTACATTCTTTTATTTAATAAAGACCTATTCAGAAAGACATAGATTTCAAAACAGAAAAAAAAAGATTTCTGCGATAAAAATATTTTACTCCAAGATGAGCATAGTATAACTAGTATATCATAGACATGCCTCAATATCGAACGACATGTTTAATTTCAATTCAACATGTCAATATGTTTTTGAATATGTATTTTTCTTGATGAAGATAAGACGCATATCAAATGCCAATCAACGTCACCTCGTGCTTATTTATTTGTAGGCATTCTTCCGTCTTAAATAAAGAGTTAGCATTCATATTCAACGGTCATTTGCTTACAAATGGTCAGTATCACAAAATTAGCAAACTGAACGTGTCGACGTAGCCCATTGGGCAGTTATATTTGTCAGTTTATGCTTATCAAATTGAGAAAAAAAGACGCAACTCCTGTAAATATTCAAGACATTTATTTATAATACACAATTTAAAAAATAAAAAACATCAACATAACTACCTATGACAAAATTTTAAGTGCAATGAGGCAGCGCACAAGACATATGAACATATGATATCTATCTATGGGTGACCTGACCGTTTAGTAACGCTGAGAAAGGATAATAGAGTCTAGATATTATAGGAAAAACTTAACGATATTTGAGATACTACGGGATATTTGCCCGGAATTAGAGACAAAAAAAACTTAATGAGAGTTAATTAGAATATGAGGACTGAACACGATTTAATAATCTAAATATTTCTTGTCCTAAAACATACGGTAGGTGATATAAATTTAGCGAATCGTCTAGCTTTGTATATTCATATCATAGTGTGTGTATCATTTTGTTAGCATCATTTTAAGGTCCTTCATCAGTATTCATTATGTCACACAATTTTCGATACTTGCACTGATCACATGTTTTTCAGTTCAAAATTAAACTTTTGAAATTACTTCATATCAACGAATAAAATCATAGAATTTCATAAATTATATTATCTTTTAACTATGAGTAAAGCCGACATCAAGTCACTTGATGTTCAAATTGTGATGGGTAAGGAAATAATCTTTCATAAAAGTTTTTTAATTCAAGTTCAACCGCCGTCGCAATTATCTTGCTGTGATCCATGTTATCATTGATAGCAATAAATTTTCTGAAACGAAACATAAAACGACTGATGTTAATGATATTCCGAGTTGCAAAAGACAATGTGCAGTCGCTTACAGATCTTTTTTTTTATATTTTAAGCAAATTATTGGCATATTTGATATCAAATTTGCAATGATGAATTGACTACAAGATGGGTTTTTTTCGGGATCATTGATTCTAGCACTTTTAAGTGCCGCTCAAGCCGGTGATAGGGGGCGTGAGGGATGTTGCACTTTTTCAGTTTTTCTCATATACAGTCGAGTCTGCAATTTTCCTATAATTTTACTGAATTTAATTCTTCCGAGGGATCATTTTTTCCAGATATTTTTACATATGCTTTAAGTCCGATTATCATATGAATTTTGTTTCACTTTGTAAAAAGTAAAGGGGTGAAATAAAAGTTGCAGACTTCCGATTTTGTAAATCAAAATTAGATTCTGAACTTTCAAATTTCAATTAAAAGAGTACCATCGGTTAGTCAATTATTATTTGCAACTTTTGATTTCGCATTTGCCAATAATTTGCTCTGGTAAGTATACAAATTCCCCAGATTTCTTATAAGATATTATCAATAAGATGTTGCCTCTATTAAGATAGAAAAAATAAACGGAATATCCAATGAACGCCCGAAAATGAAAATGCCACAGATTCCATATGATTGAGTCTACATATGGACAGTAGTTTAAACACAAACTATTGTCAATGCCCTCTTGCATTGGCTTTAGCAGTTTTCTGGCAAAAGTGAAATTTTGATTGTCGTACTTAAATAATTCAAGAATTTAAAATGATTGAAATGGGAATGATTCTGCTTATATGATACATCTTATAGATGAAGCATTCATTAATATAAATACCTTGGGTTGTCCGTGATTTTGTTTAAATCCCCTCTTGCTTTTGTAAGTATATTGCTGATCATAATAAAGTAGTAATTATCATCTGTATCTAACATATATCTGTAAAAGAGATCAGGACTTATTGTTAGAGATATTATATGTTGCTCGAAGCTTTTTCGATATTTATGCAATTGTAAATCCATTTAATAACATGTCATTTATGTTTATTTTATTCGATAAAAAATACATTACATTGTTACTAATAATTCAATATGTTACAATATTTAAAGTTTATTTCCTAAACTTATAAAGATATAATTTAAGTTACTCTACAAAAGACCCATAGTCATCATTAATGCCAAAAACAATGCTGTCATTGACGATACCCTAGAAGAGGACACTCCATTCTGTTAAACAAACACATGATTGTTCCAATGTAACAAAACATTCATGTTATTTTATCATACTGACATTAATGAATATACAGATTCAATGATCCAACATGACTTCATAATAAGATGTTAGTTGAGGGGAAATGTTTAGTAACTGTCAAAAGCTCATAATTAAAACAAATTCGACGATACATTGTCAAACCTTTTTTACGATACAATAAATCATACATCATTCATTCCAATCATACATGTATCAATTTAAAATAAAAAGCGCCACCTACTTGTATTTTGGTTTTAATATTCCCTTTCTTCTGATATAATCAACTATTTTGGGACATTTTAGAAATGTTGACTTTAACATCTGAAATTAAAATAAGTTTTTTTGTTATAAGATTGTTCTATTTAATAATGATGGTTGTCTTTAATTGTCTTTATACGTGTATGATTCTGTGAATGTATACAACGCCTGCCATAAATACCTTCAGGCCTCTCGATAAAAAACAGAGGTGAAATTAAAAGATAAATATATATCAAATGATTAACAAATACAAAATTCAAAAGAACTCTTGACAAAAAGCATATTCTTACTTCTTTGGACTATATAAACTTTTGTTAAGGCATTTGTCAAACAAGTGAGCTTAACATATAATATAGTCCCTGAAATTTGCAATGTAAATCAAATCATGTAGTCTTACAGGTTCATGCTTAATTGTGCCAGTTCCTCTGTATGTCATACACCAAATATCTTAACATTAGTTCCAATGAACCGAAGCTCTTCACGAAATGTTTTACACACATTAACTACCACTACTTTGAGAAAGATTAAAGCAGCTCTTATCTGTCTAAAATATGATGATACTCATTGAGTGACTCCATGAAAAAGAGAAGCATGTGTGTGATCCTCGAAGCCTTGTGGCACAGCAAAAAAATACGAGTTGAAGCAACACAACCCCGAAATCTACATTATCTTGAGATGAACATTTATGATATTTGTACAAATATTAGTGTAAGAGACTAAGTAAATCGATGCCATGAAGAATACAGTCCGTTATATGTAAGACATGGATCTTATCTTAATGCATTATTATAGCTTTATCCAAGTTACCATAAGAATTGTAGATTATAATAAATATATATATGCGATAATTTAAATATTTCTTCTTCATCAACTAAGATTAAAGTCAGTTATACTTAGATGATGTTATAAATATCTCTAAAATAAATGGATATTTGCAACAAAAAAGTAATTTTCTGAAAGGTGTATTTTAAAGGTGTATAAGATATCTTATAATGGTACTGTATTAATTAAGATAGCTGATTACCATTTTTTGTTTTTCAAAATACACTTATTTGACTTCTACTGATTAACTGTCTGTCTTTTGAAAAAACATTGACATTTTGAATTACCTGTTTTGAATAAGGATCTGCCAAAGTATTATTTTTCTTTGACTCAATAATTTGATGTTCCAAACATTTTAATGTTTCATCGATAAAGTAACTAATCTCTTTCTGTAAATTCAAGATAAAACACAATAGTTAATTAACCATGACATTTATAGAAAAAAATCTGTTTTATATGGTTTATCGCTTTGTAGAAAACCTAATCCTTAGATCCTTAGAGGTAAAAGGACTTGCAAATGGTAGTCTGTCTTTCCCTGTACACAGCTTGACCAACCTATATTCTGTTGGCTGCTTAAAATTTGAATTTTAAGACGGTATTGTAATTATTTTATTTTTCGCAACTTTTTATTTAAAAACGTGATGGTCATTTTCGCTACTAAGATCAACGATAAGAAAAAGAATAAAACATGCATTATAATTAACGAATAAAATCACACGGGAACGGCCGTTGTTGCACGTTTTACATTTCCAGAAATCACACACATACTTACAGTTTTCAATCACGATTACTTTTCAATCATCTGTAGACTGTACCAGGTTCTATTTTGTATTACATGTATGTGATATTTTTTTTATCAAAGAATAGATTTAATATACCTGTATCGGGCGCGTGGTACATATAGCTTAAGACAATAACGTGCGAGGAAGTTTCATTCTCAAAACATTCCTCTCAAGTGACAACGCACTAGCACGTGAAACGGATAACAAAACCAATTTTTCTGAATACGAAAAATAGATAAAGAAATGCGGAATGTAAGTATAGCGCTCGTGCACCTTTTTCGTGCATCAACATCTTTAGAAGCCATCAATGCCTCGACTTTGGACTCGAGCAGAAGTTAATGCAGAAAAGGGTACACTAGCCCTATTCAGGTGTACATGTATTAACATACTATCAATATATATAAATTTTTCAGTAGTATTGTCTACAATTATACATTCTGTTTCATATGATACCGTGTACTTTATCAAAACACGTAACTAACCTTTTGACTTTTAAAATGCATACTCAGTAACTCCAAATCTTTAAATGACACTGTCCTGTAAGAAGAAATATTTGTAAAAAAAAAAAATATTTCGTTTAAGTGGTTATCCTAACTTGTTTGAAATATATACCCGATGTTTTAAAAATTGACCCTTTCCTTAAGTATATCAGTGCTATCTTTTTTATGAAACATACATTATAAAAAAACATACATTTACAAAACTAGAGGTAATAGAAATGTGCTTATCGGAAATAAAATATTTATTTAATTAATGGCAATTTCAGCACAATCCAGTATACATCTTACATACGAATGGTTAATTATCGTATACATAAACCAACGATAACGCCCATCTAGTATTATTTACTCTAATTTACTCTCAATTTTATGAAAGATACATGAAAAAAAACATTTACAAGCACTTTGTATATTGAAAATTCATTTATTTATGTAATGGTAATTTCTTCACAACCCAGTATAAATCTTAATACGAATGGTAAACCATCGTATACATAAGCCAAAGATAACGCCCATCTAGCGTTATTTACTCTTAGGTTTAATAGTGTAACGTTAACGCACACTGACCATAGCTTTTGCTTTAAGAAAAATCTCTTTACATTTTTAAGTCCTTGTTTAGCTTTCACAATATCTATGGCTAAATATTTTCTTTGCCCAATTTCTTTTTTTTTTGGCTTGTTTGTTTGCTGGATATTATCTTTGATACATAAATATTGCAGCATAGGATATAAGCGGTCACCAACAGTAAACCTTTCACTAGTTTTCATTTAAGTTTTAAAATGAGAAACTATTTTTCTTGTCAAAAATTATTGTTCTCATCTGAAAGTAGCCAAAATTTGTTTTAAAATATAATTTTGTTGACAAAAGCTTAATGCCTGACAAAATAAATATAAGTTCTTGTCATTATTTCATAACTGTCTCGTCATACTTGCCCGGTTTTATTTTTATCTAATTCATCAAAAACATTTGCTGGTGTTAATGTTACATGTGTTGTTGTGATATAAAGTAGATACGCCATTGTGTATTGAACATTGAACTGGGAACGAAAATGGATGGATGATGATATCTTAAACTCTTCATGAAATCTATAAATTTAATAAAAAAACCGAAATTGTTAAGTATGGTCAACAATAACATGAACGTTTATACAAGTCAGGCCCTTTTACAGAACATGACATAAGATAAAGCTTTATAAATGTACGGGTAGTTAATATGGGGACAGTGATGAAACATCTGAATGTACTTATGTTAACAACAACAAAACAATGTAATAAAACATATAAATTGACAAATTTAACATACATTATTGTATATCACCAAAAACATTGAATGCAAAAATAATATTTGAATCTTTGCATATAAATGCATTTATGCATATACATTTAGTAAAAATTCGAAAAATTGAACAAATTTAATAATTTTTAAACATGTTCAAACATTGGCTTTCGGAAATGTAAGCGAAAATAGAGTGAGGGAAATATTTAAAAAGTCTCTTTATTGAAAAGTGGGATTTTTTTTCACTGTAAAATTATCAATCCATTCAACGGTATAAAGTAAATGATGTTATTTTTATCAGGTTATGAGCTGGTTGGCCAACTAAAATAGGTAGGTATACGGAGTTCAGGACAGATATAGCTGCAGAAAGCTTGTCTGTTATAAATATTGTACTAATTTGCAATTTTCTGATAATAGCAGAAAGAAGCATAATAAAAGAAAACTATGCGACGACACATACATACAATAATGTATATGCGGAAATAAGAAATAAGGCAATGTTATTGTCAACTTGGCATTTTTCTAAACAGACTATGCTACAAACTGTAATCATACAATGATAAAAATAAATTCAAGAACATTTACTCACGTTTTATAAAGATCACTAGCAATTTGTCTATTCACCAGCAATGGTCGATGTGGTGGGAAATTAAAGTGAACTACGCCATCATTGTTCAACCGATGCCTGTTAAACATCGCAATTGTGTTATATATAGATCCCTTAAAGTTTCCGCCATAAAACAATGGATACATTTGTTTGATATGAGCACGAGTTATTTTTCTACAATCACCATGATCCCACCCACACCTGATGTTGTCACATGACCTGTCACATTTACCGTTACCTAGCAACGTGTTAAAGCATCTAAACCAGCAAGGCGGCAAGGCAGCATCCCATTTAATCTGAATCAGAATGACGAATTATAGCGTTCTCACAGTCTTAATTTGCATAAATTATATACGAATAAAAAGTATAAATTCTAAACGAATACAAGCAAGAAAAAGATAACAAAGTTTCAAATCTGTGTGAGATAGTACGAACAAATAACGATGGTATATCGTACAATTATTTTTATTTAGTAAGAGATCAAATAAATGAACATAGATTGAAAACATCGTCGGAAATAGTTTATAAACAGGCCCCGTGTTCACAAAGAAAAGGTAAGGATCAGGATCATGCGATCCTGATTTTATTTTCATTATTTTATAAAAACTAAAATTGATTATATCGTGCTAGAATTAAATGGTACATATTCGAATTGTAAATAATTGCTTATTTGCAAAGAAACCAACCTATTTTGGGATAAAATCAACTAATAACAAAACAAATACAAAAATAATCGGATCAAAATGAGGATCAATTTTAGGATAAAGATCAAAATTTGGATCAACTGTAAAATGCCCATTTCTTGTAAAAATAACAATAAATTTATGCTAAACTTTCATAAACATGCTATTTTAAATCCAGTTTTATCAATTTAATAGTGAATATTTAATCTATGAGGATAAATAATGGAGAATATTTGAGATTTTAAATTTGATCCTGATCTTTTTTTTGATCCTTAAATCTTTGTGAACATCATTTTTTAAACTAATTCAGGAGCATGACATGTATGAAGGTTGTTTTTGTCTTTTATACGTCAGTTTGATTTCATAATGTTAAGTAACTGTGTATTGGAAAATATTTAGAATAAATATCAAACAATCAAATGCATTATACAAACCTTAGCCATATATTTAACTATGACAAAAGCATAAAATATACTGGTTATATATTTCTCCTTTTGCTTGGCTCTCTCCTCACTTAATAAATTCATTTATATTTAATTTCCTTGTCATCGTCAAAGGATCACCAACTATTTTGATTAAATCTCGATATATTGAACATTTTTATGTACATTACAGGAATAAATTACAAATAGTGCTTGCTTTTTTGGTCTTTTTGCGTGCGTGTGTGTGCGTGTGTGTTCTGCTGCACTGCTGCGCAGGGGAAGAAAAAAAAGAATAAAACACTGGAAAAGATAATAATCAGTTTTCTCACCTTATACCCCTCCTCTGAGGTATAAAAATCACGTAAAGTGACTGGCTGTCCAAAAATGAAATCGTCGCACATGAAGAGGAATGTTTCTGATAAACCAGGAATACGATACATATAACTTTCAATAGCAGGGGATGAGAAAGTCGGCAAATATTTCGGGTTTGGAAATATCTCCTATACATATATAAGAAAAGTTTTTTTAAAAACTGTACAAACCTCCAAAGTTTGACAAATGTTACAATATTTATAAAGTTATATTGTATGTTTAAAAAACTTCACACATAAAAGATTATCAACTGTTTGAAAATAACAACGACTTAAAGATTATATTCATCATTTGATGTTATTAGTAAAGATAATGTTTTGATTAGGGTCCATAATTTTATCTCAAACAACTTTTCGGCGCTACTCCCTGTTATAACATACCTTCGTGCTTATTACCGCAATTCTCTCATATGATGTGTTGAGCCAACTTGGAGTCTGGTCATTGGTAACAATATAAATATGTCGAATCCAAGGTGCGTATTTCTCTACAGATCTTATGGAATATATCAACTGATTATTCACCACATATCTATTAGCATTTGGGAGTCCTTCTATTTTAATCTGGGATATAATACGGATTTTATTATACAATAAATCGCGCGTGGTTCATAGCATTGTTCAAAATAACATGCGATCGATTAAATAATACAATGTACATGATAAGATGGCAAAACCTGAATATAGATGAATGCACAAATACATTATTTCTTGCAGTAAATCTAGCCATAATAAAAATAGGAATAAAAATAATGCTCACAACATATTTAGTTTTTATGTGTTTTGATTTCTTTTCAAAACCTTTATGGATTCGAATATCATTTTTGTTTACAGTATAAAATGATAATCAAAATTTATAAAAGCTTGGGCGCATCAAAACTTATTTCTGGTACATTGTTTCCTTAAATCCAAAAAATCCAGACATTCAATTACTAAGTGAAATTCATCTTCTAGCTCGTGACAGCTACGGCATATACGGATATGAATTTTTACAATCGTTTTGTATGAATTATGTATTTAATTTTCACAATTATACTCACTGAATCTGTATCCCAGACTAAATTGGCAGGTTTGATATCGAGGTCGAATTGTTTCAAGTCTTTAATTGCCTGGAAAGGCGCATTTTACAATAATATCAACGGTTTTAAACAATCTTTAGTAAAGCTACAATTGAACAGGAGTGCAGTTTTATATTACTTAGGTATATGAGTTCACCATGGTCATAGTATTAAGCTGTATATATAACATGTTATTATTCAATGACGTTTAAACCGAAATTATTTAGTTTTGTGTATGAACAACTCAATACATTATTTGGGTTCAAACCCTGTCAGCGGCAAGCCGTTGTTTCCTTGAGCAAGAAACATTACATTCATTGCTTAGTAATGGTTAGTTCCAGGAACGGATTCGACAATGTATCAATAAACTTATAGCTCCCAACACAATCAAACTAAAATAAATGTCTTTAAACTAATACATAATTTGACATGCATTGTAAATAATCAAATATCTTCATTTTTTAAACAAATCAAAGCAATAAGTATTATCTGGGTAGAGTGAGAGAAAGTTACCTGGTTGAAACTGTTAGCACGTTGTTTGTAACATATCATGATATACTTTCCTGTTTTCTCATTTAAATGCTGTTTTAAAACATAGCTAGCACCAATCTGAAATGAAAAAATGAAATACACGTGTTTGGTAAAATACGCTACTGAAAAGTATAGATAGAATTGAATAGAATTCGTAAAAATCGCATAGTCGATTTTGGTGCAAGCTTTGAAGGTGTGAAAGCACTGAAGTGAATATTATTGTAAAATCAAGTGATTGTATGCTTTTAACATTATGGAACATATGCAACATGGTATCATACAAATGGCCACCACCATCCATGAACAGGCTCAATACACATTTTTATTTTTTCTGTCGTAGCGTTCTTGAGGGATTACGTTTTTCTCTTTCTTTTTTTAAGTGATCATTTTATGTCATGTTGGTGTTAAATATCATAATATCTTATAATACAATGTCTCAATAATGATAAGTTTGAATGCTTGTAAAAATTGTGTGTGTTTATGTCGGTAGATAGATGACAGTAACTGATTACATGATTGACTTAAAATGACAAAGTTGATGGCTCAATGTGGAGAGTTCTGTTTAAATACCTAACAATCGTATGAAAAGTTTATAATAATACATGTATGTGAACAAAGTAATATCAACATAACTTTTAGAAAACGCTTGTTAACGGGCACATGTTTTATCTGAAAAGAACACATTTTAAAAGTGTATTGCGAATGAAAGAACACTTGCTAAATATAACGTATTATTACCTGACTTAGCCTTTCTTTGATGACAGTGATCGTCTTTTTATCGTAAATTGTTACAATATACATGTTTTCTAGTGTTTTCTTCACTTGCGATCTGTTTTCACTACACTGAAATTTAATGTAACAATCCATTTAATGTTAACGTAACAATCGCACTGTTAGAAATATAATTTGTACCATAAACGTTGAGTTGGAATTATATGTAACACAGGCTTGCTATTATAATATTTACTATTGGTCACACCAGCAAATTTAGATGAGACGTATGAGATAGTGTTTAGGTCTTTCTCAAAATAAAGAAAAACAGAATCTCTAAAAAAACAACACAGCAAAATTTGATTAAGCCTGTTGGTAACTGCAAGCTACCGTCAACGCTTTCTAGCAAAGGCTTAAGCTGTTTTAGTCTATAGTACATAATATAGTATTATTGTTGATAACATCCAGAAATAATTCATTAGTAAGTAATTTATATTAAAAAAAATGAACACAAAGATCAGCAAGGTACTTGTGTAAAATGATGCACAATATGAAACTCGCTAACCACATGCATACAATGCTTACAAACATTTCTTTTTTTAGATACGGATACTCAGATTAAGCATATGACGTGCTGAACAATGTTCATGGCCTCCATTTCTCTGTATCTTCCGACATAACCAAGTCTTTCATGATCATGACCACCGGTAATGTATCTAGTACAGCATT